GCGGGCTGGGCCTGTAAATAATTGTCTTTAGAACAGGATGTGCAACTTTTGCCCAGCGGGAAGCCAGGGGGGCTAAAGAGAAGTTATCAGAGGTTTCCACCACAAACAGTCTTTAGATGGCTTGAGAAGTACAACAAAGTCTTTTATTAATGAACAATCAAACAGAAACTTCTCTTGTCTTCAGTAAAGTTAAGCAAATGATTCCAAGCTTTTAGGCAACTGGTGAATTCCTAATCTTGCCCACGAAGGACAGGCAACTGTCTTCACTAACTTCTTCTTTGAAGGAAAATCCCCTTTTTAACTGCTCCCAGGCTGACTGTAATCTAACCCTTACTGATGTGGGCTCCGCTACCGGGTCGAACTGCATCTCGAACACCGAGTGGACCTACCAGCAAGGCAGTAGATGTTCTCTAGCTGGAGTTCTTTGTCTTTAGGGCTGTTTTCCTGGAAATTCTTTGGAGACTCTTAAGAACTTTCTCCCCCGGAAGGTCTTAAGGGTTGAAGCTTTTGTACAAGGGAAGTTACACACATCCTATACATAAGCTTTCCTTGCTGAGACTAACTAAAAATGGCTCCCTTCCCAATTGCCCTGAGCAAGGGGCGGGACCAAAACTTAACAATGATGGACAGCTGACTTGCCCTATGACTGCAACCAAAGAAGCCACCTATCTGCAGAGTCCCTGAAACCTAGGGCTGCAAGCAAACATTTAATACAAAGCAAATAAAGTTGGAGCTCCTGGTACAGCTGTACCAGAACAACTACATCGGCTATTGCTGCAAGTAAGGACAGTGTGAATAAATTGCTAATATTTGCCTGAGATCATGCTTGCAGTTCTGGAGGGACTCTTGATTTTTTGCATCTCATAGAGTTAGCATGGGGATTTGGTTAACCAGTTAAAATTCATGAGTAAACCAGGTTTTTTTTAAAAAAAAAAATCTGAAACATTTCGGGGGGGAGTTGAACCCCTAACCCCCCACCCCTCGCTACGGGCCTGGAGAAGAGGGATCCTCTCACTCCTGCAGGAGTCTACCATATACCATGTAGCTGTGGACAAGTCTACATAGGGACCACCAAACGCAGCAGCATTGCCCAAACACGAATCAAGGAACATGAAAGGCACAGCGGACTACTTCAACCAGAGAAATCGGCCAAAGCAGAGCACCTGATGAACCAACCTGGACACAGTATTTTATTTGAGGACACAGAAATGCTGGGCCACTCTCACAACTACTATGTCAAACTACACAGAGAAGCCATTGAAATCCATAAGCATGTAGACAATTTCAACAGAAAGGAGGAAATCATGAAAATGAACAAAATCTGGCTACCAGTATTAAAAAAAACTCTAAAATTACAACAGCAAAACAACAGAGAGGAAACAATCAGGGACATCTAATCACCTCTCCAGGTACTAACAAGCCACAACAAAAAACTGCCAGGCCATCAAATGCTAATCAAGGTGGTCAGTTGAAACATTCACACCTAGCTCCAGCAGACAAGGGTTCTTTGTCCCACCCTTGTCATTATTCCACAGATATATAAACCCATTTTCCTAGTTCCAACAGACCTCACTACCTCTGAGGATGCTTGCCATAGATGCAGGTGAAACATTAGGAGAGAATGCTGCTAGAACATGGCCATATAACCCGAAAAAAACCTACAAGATCCCTATTATTATTTTTTATTATCATTATTTTTAATATTAATCTACAATTACAGAGAGACAAGGGCCATTCAATAATAACAAAACAGTAACAACAGAATTTTGGACTTGGAAGAGACAAGTTCACATCTGTACTATTATTATTAATGTTAATCTAGAATTATAGAGACCACAAGGGGCATTCAACAATACTTTCTTGCTTGCTTACTTAGACAATCCCTAGTTGTCCGAGTAGGATTGTCTTCCAAGATCGGTGTAGTAGCAGTGGGTCCGTAGGTGATTGTGGAGCCCTATTCTTGATCTGCATGTTCTCCCGGAGCGAGGGCATTGGTTTCCAGGTGGAAGGCAGTCCAGGTCAGGGTTGGCTTGTTTATTAATAATAATAATGTATTTATTATTATTAGTATTAATAATAATAATAGGTTATTGTGGTTTTTTTCGGGCTATAGGGCCATGTTCGGGCCCTATAGCCCGAAAAAAACCACAAGAACCTAGTGATTCCAGCCATGAAAGCCTTCAACAATACAATAATAATAAAAATATAAGAGTCATGGATTTGGAAGAGACAAGTTCACATCTGTATTAGTATTAACTAGCTGTCCCCTGCGAAGCATTGTTGCGGCAAGAGAAGAAAAGTAGGTATATAGTATATGTAATGAACTGCCCACTTCTGTAGAACCTCTCTTAAAGCTATTGAATTTAGCAACACTTCACTCAGGTATTACCATACCATTGATACTCTATTCATTTAAAATAACAATATTGACAGAAAGGCAATTTGAAACAACACAACACAGTTTCACTACAGACTTGATAATATTCTCAAGTGTTCCCGAAGCTCTAAATCAAATTACTAACACACTCTTAACATCAAGATATACATTCTAGTAACGCTTTACATCAGTATTATTATACAAAAGTGGCAGTAGTTCCAAGTTCTCCATGTGAGTAATGTCAACGTCAAGTTGCTCTTGAATGAGTTCTTTCTCGCTGTGTAACAGTGTAGTTGTTACAGTCTTTTATCAAGGTTTATCAAGGTTGTTATTTCTGGATAACAGGGATGGCCAAGAAATCCGTAATGCCGGGGCGAGTACAACTGGTTTCCCGGGTACAGGCCAGTTTCGATACTTCTTCAGGTAGTCTCCCTGTTTGCTTGGATCTATTCTTAATCAATTCAGAAATCAAATCATCAAAACTTAAAGTGCTCAGGTTGAGAACCATAGAATCATAGAGTTGGAAGAGACCTCATGGGCCATCCAGTCCAACACCATTCTCCCAAGAAGCAGGAATATTGCATTCAAATCACTCCTGACAGATGGCCATCCAGCCTCTGTTTAAAAGCTTCCAAAGAAGGAGCCTCTACCACACTCCGGGGCAGAGAGTTCCACTGCTGAACGGCTCTCACAGTCAGGAAGTTCTTCTTCATGTTCAGATGGAATCTCCTCTCTTGTAGTTTGAAGCCATTGTTTCGCGTCCTAGTCTCCAGGGAAGCAGAAAACAAGCTTGCTCCCTCCTCCCTGTGACTTCTTCTCACATATTGGTCTCACAGTCTTGGTCACCTTAGTGGATCATCTGCGCCGGGAGCTCGACAGGGGGAGTGTGTCCCTGTTGGTGCTGCTGGACCTCTCAGCGGCCTTCGATACCGTCGACCACGGTATCCTTCTGGAATGCCTCGCGGGGATGGGTCTCGGGGGCACTGTTTTACAGTGGCTCCGGTCATTCCTGGAGGGCCGATCCCAGAAGGTGTTATTGGGGGACACCTGTTCAACCCCACAACCTTTGTCTTGTGGGGTTCCACAGGGCTCAATACTGTCTCCCATGTTGTTTAACATCTACATGAAGCCGCTGGGAGAGATCATCCGGAGTTTCGGGATACGGTGTCATCTGTATGCAGATGATGTCCAACTCTGTCACTCCTTTCCACCTGCTACTAAGGAGGCTGTCAAGGTCCTGAACCGGTGCTTGGCCGCTGTAAAGGTCTGGATGAGGGCGAACAAATTGAAACTGAATCCAGACAAGACAGAGGTACTCCTGGTCAGTCGCAAGGCCGAACAGGGTATAGGGTTACAGCCTGTGCTGGATGGGGTCGCACTCCCCTTGAAGGCGCAGGTTCGCAGCTTGGGTGTGATCCTGGATTCATCGCTGAGCCTGGAGCCCCAGGGGAGCATTTGCACAGCTTAGGCTCGTGCGCCAGCTGCGCCCATACCTTGGGAAGTCTGACTTGGCCACGGTAGTCCACACTCTGGTTACATCCCGTTTAGACTACTGCAACGCTCTCTACGTGGGGTTGCCTTTGAAGATGGCCCGGAAGCTTCAATTAGTCCAACGTGCGGCAGCCATGTTACTTACAGGAGCGGGACGCAGGGAGCACACAACCCCCTTGTTGTACCAGCTCCACTGGCTGCCGATTTGCTACCGGGCCCAATTCAAGGTGCTGGCGTTGGCCTATAAAGCCTTAAACGGTTCCGGCCCAAGATACCTATCCGACCGCATCTCGACCTACGAGCCCACCAGGACTTTGAGATCTTCCGGGGAGGCCCTGCTCTCGATCCCGCCTGCTTCACAAGCACGGCTGGTGGGGACGAGAGATAGGGCCTTCTCGGTGGTGGCTCCTCGGCTGTGGAACACCCTTCCCGTGGACATCAGACTGGCTCCTTCCCTGATGATATTCCGCAGGAAATTAAAGACTTGGTTGTTCAAGAAGGCGTTCGAACAAGAAGTGCAATTATTGGTAATGACTATAGGAATGGAACAACGGAAAATGACTCTGGATTACGATTTGGACGAGGAGACGATGCTGAATGGTTTCTGTAGTAATGATGATGTTTTTGTATAATGCTCGACTGTGAATTGTTTTGATACTGTGTTTTGAATTTTGTTCCTCTTATGTTGTACACCACTGTGAGTCGCCCCCGGGCTGAGAACAGCGGTATATAAGCAAAGTAAATAAATAAATAAATAATATTTATACATGGCTATCATATTTCCTCTCATCCTTCTCTTCTTCAGGCTAAACATGCCCAGCTCCTTAAGGCGCTCCTCATAGGGCTTGTTCTCCAGACCCTTGGTCATTTTAGTCACCCTCCTCTGAGATAGATAATGCTAATGTAGAATTACAGACTGCAAGGGTCAATAGAGCAGGCATGGGCAAACTGTTAGGAATTGTGGGAATTGAAGTTCTAGAGATCCGAAGTCAGCCCATGGGGGCTCCATCAGAACCAGCATCCAAGGGTCTCTGATTCCATGCCTCTGCTGGCTTTTCCCGCCCTTTGCTGGGGCGGGCGCCGCCTGGCGGAAGTCCCTCCCCCGGAGCGCGGCGCCGTCACTTCCGCCCGCTCGGCTCGGCAGCACCAATATGGCGGCGCCCTGTGGCTCCTCGCAAGTTTCGGCCGGCGCGCCGCCGCTGAAGACGCCCAAGATGGAGGTGATGTCGCCGGGCTCTCCGGGGGCCATGAGCGACGGCAACCGCAGCCTGTCGGAGCCCTCCACGCCCAGCGGCGCCTCGCCCCTCGGCCCAGCGGGACCGGGCTCCCTCACGGCAGCGGCGGCGGCAGCCTCGGGCTCGAGTGGCGGCGGTGCGCGCGGCGGGGCCTCCCCCTCGGCCTCGGCCTCTCCCTTCTCCCCCGGGGGCGCCTCAGCGGCGGCGGCGGCAGCAGCGGCGGCGGCCTGCCGGGGCATGTCGTGGACGCCGGCGGAGACCAACGCCCTCATCGCGGTCTGGGGCAACGAGCGGCTCGTGGAGGCGCGCTACCAGCAGCTGGAGGGCGCCGGCACCGTCTTCGGGAGCAAGGCCCCCGGGCCCGCCATGTACGAGCGCGTCTCGAGGGCCCTGGCCGAGCTGGGATACGAGCGCACCCCCTCCCAGTGCCGGGAGCGCATCAAGGTACCTCCCCCGCCCAGGATGCCCCAGCCTTGGCCTGGCCACACAGACACAGCACCCACAACAGCCAGGCAGATCAAGCTTTTAGCCAGGTGGTCTGAGGTATCTTTCACACAGCTGTATAAAATCCCACACTACCTACTTTGAACTGGATTATATGTCAGTTCCACATAGACCCTTCCACATAGCACTATATCCCAGAATATCAAGGCAGAAAATCCCACATCATCTGAGTGTGGACTCAAAAGGTAAAGGTAAAGGTAGTCCCCTGACATTAAGTCCAGTCATGTCTGACTATGGGGTGTGGTGCTCATCTCCATTTCTAAGCTGAAGAGCCAGCGTTGTCCATAGACACCTCCAAGGTCATGTGGCTGGCATGACTGCATGAACCGACTGCATGGACTCATAACTCAGTTCAAAGCAAATATTGTGGGATTTCCTGCCTTGACATTCTGGGATATAGGGCTGTGCGGAAGGGCCCCCAAATAACTCAGACAGCCATAGAACCCAGAATATTAAGACAGGTCATCCACAGTATCTGCTTTGAGCTGAGTTATTTGAGGGCTCTTCGTTCAGCAGTGGAACTCTCTGCCCCGGAGTGTGGTGGAGGCTCCTTCTTTGGAAGTTTTTAAACAGAGGCTGGATGGCCATCTGTCAGGGGTGATTTGAATGCAATATTCCTGCTTCTTGGCAGGGGGTTGGACTGGATGGCCCATGACGTCTCTTCCAACTCTTTGATTCTATGATTCCACACAGCCCCATAACCCAGAATATCTGGGCAGAAAATCCAACAATATCTGCTTTGAACTGGATTATATGTCAGTGTGGTCTCAGGGCCCTTCCACACAGCCCTATATCCCAGAATAACAAGGCAGGAAACCCCACATTATCTGAGTGTGGACTCAAATACCTCAGTTCAAGGTACATCATCCACAGTATCTGCTTTGAGCCAGGTTATTTGAGGGCCCTTCCACACAGCCTCATAACCCAGAATATCAAGGCAGAAAATCCAACAATATCTGCTTTGAACTTAGTTATCTGAGTTGGGAGTGCATCAAGGTATCTCCCCCAATCCCTCAGCCCCACAGAGCCCAGGATGGCCCAGCCTTGGCCTGGCCACACAGCCACAGAACCCACAACAGCCAGGCAGATCAGGCTTTTAACCGGGTTACCTGAGGCATCTTCCACACAGCTGTATAAAATCCCACATCTGCTTTGAACTGGATTATATGGCAGTGTGGACTCAAGGCCCTTCCACACAGTCCTATATCCCAGAATATCAAGGCAGGAAATCCCACATTATCAGAGTGTGGACTCATAACTCAGTTCAAAGCAGATATTGTGGGATTTTCTGCCTTGACATTCTGGGATATAGGGCTGTGCGGAAGGGTCCTCAAGTAACTCAGACAGGCATAGAGCCCAGTATATCAAGGCAGGTCATCCACGATATCTGTTTTGAGCCTGGTTATTTGAGGGCCCTTCCACACAGCTTTGAGCTTTGAAACCGCTTTGAGTCCCCCTAGGGCAGTGTTTCTCAACGTGGGGGGGGGGGGGGGGGGGGGGGGGTTTCAGAGGGGTCACCAATGACCATCAGAAAACATATATAAATAATTTATTTATCGTGTCATCAGCAACCAGACATTTGTATTACATTTTAAACAAAAACAAACAGACAGACAAAACACAGAATTTGCAAGCTTGGTAGTTGATTAAATGTCCTTTGACCAGTAGCTGCCCACTTGGAGTGCCTCTGGTGTTGCCACAAGGAAGTCCCCTGTTGTGCATGTGGTGGGGCTCAGGGTGCATTGCAGCAGGTGGTGAGTGGTTTGTTCTTCTCCAACCTCACTGTGGATTCCGCTTTGCAGCCCCATTTCTTAAGGTTGGCTCTGCATCTCGTGGTGCCAGAGCGCAGTCTGTTCAGTGCCTTCCAAGTCGCCCAGTCTTCTGTGTGCCCGGGGGGAGCCTCTCATTTGGTATCAGCCATTGATTGCAGTTCTGGGCGTGAGCCTGCCACTTTTGGACTCTCACTTGCTGGGGTGTTGCAGCGAGTGTCTCTGTAGATCTTAGAAAACTATTTCTTGATTTAAGTCGTTTATGTCCTGACTGATACCCAAACAAGGGATGGGCTGAAGATGTCACTGCCTTGGTCCTTTCACTATTGGCTGCTACTTCCCAGCGGATGATATATATCTAATATAACAAAATCAAGTGCCCCCCCCCCCCAACCCCACCAGTATCCAAATTTGGGTGTATTGGGTATTTGTGCCTATTTGGTTCAGTGAATGAAAATGCATCCTGCATATCGGCTATATACATAGCAATTCATAATAGTAGCAACATTACAGTTATGAAGTAGCAATTAAAATAATTGTATGGTTGGGGGTCATCACAACATGAAGAACTATATTAAGGGGTCTCAGCATTAGGAAGGTTGAGAAGCACTGCCCTAGGGGTGAAAAAAGCGGTATATAAATGCAGTAAATAAATAAATAATACAACCCCATAACCTGAATATCAAGGCAGGAAATCCCACATTATCTGAGTGTGTACTCATAACCCAGTTCAAAGCAGATATTGTGGGATTTTCTGCCTTGATATTCTGGGATATATTTACTTACTTAGGCCATTCCTCTTGTCTGAGATCAATGTCTTGGCGGTGGGTCTGTAGGTGACTGGAGCCCTATATTTGACCTGCATGTTCTCCTGCAGTGAGGGCATCGGTTTCCACGTGGAAGGCGGTCTCAGTCAGGGTTGGCTTGACAAGACTTCCTCTTAGCACGTTTCTCTCTTTTGCCCTCCATTCGTGCCTCTTCAAATTCTGCAGCACTGCTGGTCACAGCTGACCTCCAGCTGGAGCGCTCAAGGGCCAGGGCTTCCCAGTTCTCAGTGTCTATGCCAGAGTTTTTAAGGTTGGCTTTCAGCCCATCTTTAAATCTCTTTTCACCAACATTTCGTTTCTGGTTCTTGAGTTTGGTGTAGAGCAACTGCTTTGTGAGACGGTGGTCGGACATCCGGACAACATGACCGGTCCAGCGGAGTTGATGGTGGAGGACCATTGCTTCAATGCTGGTGGTCTTTGCTTCTTCCAGCATGCTGACATTTGTCCGCTTAACTTTCCAAGAGATTTGTAGGATTTTCCGGAGGCAACACTGATGGAATCATTCTAGGAGTTGCATGTGACATCTGTAGATAGTTCCCATTTCACACCCATATAGTAGGGTTGGGAGGACAATAGCTTTATAAATAAGCACCTTAGTATCCCTACAGATGTCCTGGTCCTCAAACACTCTCTGCTTCATTTGGAAAAATGCTGCACTCGCAGAGCTCAGGCGGTGTTGCATTTCAGTGTCAGTGTTGACTTTTGTGGAGAGGTGGCTGCCAAGGTAGTGGAAATTGTCAACATTTTCTAATGTTACACCATTCAGCTGTATTTCTGACATTGGAGAGGGATTGGCCGGCGACTGCTGGAAGAGCACTTTGGTTTTCTTGATGTTCAATGACATATAGGGCTGTGTGGAAAGGCCCTCAGATAACTCGGGGCCCTTCCAGACAGGCATAGAATCTAGAATATCAAGGCAAATCATCCGCAGTATCTGCTTTGAGCCGGATTATTTGAGGGCCCTTCCATGCACCCTATAACCCAGAATATCAGGGCAGAAAATCCAACAATATCTGCTTTGAACTCGGTTATGTGAGTCCACGCTGCCATATATTCCAGTTCAAAGAATATAATGTGGAAGTTTCTGCCTTGATATTCTGGGATATAGGGCTGTGTGGAATGACCCTGAGGCACCTTCCACACAGCTGTATAAAATCCCACATTATCTACTTTGAACTGGATTATATGGCAGTGTGGACTCAGGGCCCTTCCACACAGCCCTGTATCCCAGAGTAAAGAAGGGAGCCGAGATGACAGTTCCATCTTGTCTCCTGTGACATCAGAGCGTCTTCCCAGTAACAATATAATATTATATAATACTAATATTACGAATGATATATTAGTACTATGCTAATAATATAGTATGTTTTATGTACGTATGACTTGTAAGCTGCTCTGAGTCCCCTTCGGGGTGAGAAGGGCAGCATATAAATGTCATCAATAAGTAATATCAAGACAGGAAATCCCACATTATCTGAGTGTGGACTCAAGTAACCAAGTTCAAAGCAGATATTGTGGGAATTTCTGCCTTGATATTCTGGGGTACAGCGCTGTGTGGAAGGGCCCTTAGATAACTCAGATAGTCATAGGGCCCTTCCACACAACCATATAACCCAGAATATCAAGGTAGAAAATCCCACAATGTCTGCTCTGAATCTGAGTCCACACTGCCATATATTTCAGTTCAAATCAGAAAATGTGGGATTTAATTTAGCTGTGTGGAAGGGGCCTCAGATAGCCCAGTTCAAAGCTGATATTGTGGTATTTTCTGCCTTATAATAATAATAATAATAATAATAATAATAATAATAATAATAATAATAATAGCAACAACAACACTTTATTTATATTCCACTTTTCTCACCCCGAAGGGGACTCAGGGCAGATCACAGTACACAGTATATGGCTGGATGGAAGGGCCTTGAGTCCCCACCGCCACATAATCCAGTTCAATGTGGATTTTATACCGCTGTGTGCAAGGGGCCCTTCACACACTTTTGTGGGAGTTTGTTGTCCCACAGTTTCAAACTGCTTTAAGTGGTCAATGTACATGGGGCCTCGCTTTTTAGTGGCATGGTAGTACATTGGATACTGATGCCTCATCTACATTGGCATTGGTAAACTAAAATGAGCAAAGGTCCAGAGACCATGAATGCCTATGGGAAGCCTCTTAAAGAGCTGAGCATGGTTAGTCTGCAGAAGAGAAGATTGAGAGGAGACATGAGAGCCATGTATAAATATGTGAAAGGATGCCATAAGGAAGGGGGAGCAAGCTTGTTTTGTGCTTCCTGGAGACTAGGACTGAATTGAGCCATGAGTTCCAATGACGGGGAAGAAGATTCCA